GGATTCAAGAAAGATGATTTTGTGAAAAGAAGAAGAGAGACGGAATGATGAATTAGTTATGTGTAACTAACTATCTAACTGAATGTATTATTGTTGCTGCTTGTTATCTACAAACATAATGACCCTTTATATAGGCAAAAATGTCCAGACCCAAATACATGCTAAAAGCCCAAATAACTACATAACAAGAATTAACCAACTAACAGACCAGTCCTTTGTTGATCTTTGAAAATATCAATAGAACGGAATACCGACTTTCAGTTGGATGGATAGGAAGTGACACTATAACACCCATCATTGGCGAGCATGATCCTTACATTCATATATATGAAAGGGTAAGCCTCACTCTGCCCGAGTTAGTATATACTGTATTTATAATGCGATCTCTCTATCTCCCTCTGCACTGAGGAATTTATCATGTAAATCTTACAAACAGATTTCGGTTTCAGGGCTATGGCATTTCTGACAGTGTGCAGTTTCACGGTGATAGATATTTTGGTGAACGCACTCACATTCTTGAATTTCATATTTTTTATGTTGATTCTATCTTTTCATCATGTAATCAATAATCTCACTTCGCAATCTCACTCTTTTTTCTTTCCTTCCTCAGAGATCTCTCTTCGTGATCTCTGCTTATGTAATAAGTAATCTCGCTTTTGTTCTCGCTGCTCTTTACTTTTACAGGTACTCACTATCACTGTTCCATTTTATTTTTCTTTTAGTTCATGAAATTTGATTTGTCTCTAATGTTGTTGGGTTGTAACTTCTACAGGGTTTCTATAGCTATCTTGAAGGATCCTGAAATTGCGTTACGAGCTACGGTTTTGTTCTGCTTTAATCCTGCTTCTGTATTTTATTCATCAATGTAATGTTCGCATTCTCGGTTGTGTTTTAATATATTTAGATTTTGCTTTGCGATTTGGATATTGATTAGTTTGGTTTTGTTTTGTTTTTTTGTTTGAATTCTAGATACTCGGAGAGTTTGTATGTTGTTCTTAGTCTTGGAGGATTGTACTACTTTGTATCTGGAAAAAATAATTTGGTTGTTCCTTCTTCTTGCTCTCTCTGGTTGTGCAAGGTCTAATGGGGTGCTCAATGCTGGCTATATCTGTCTTCAGACTATGCAAGGTCTAGGTGAAAATTAATAAATGGTTTTATTTTATATCTAAAGTTGTCTTTACTTCATCTTTCTTTGTATCACGTTATGTGAACATTTGACCACTCGCCATGGTATCATTTAGGGACTGCCAAACAGTTAAAAGTATGAATGAACATAATGACAGCAAGATTGTATGATAAAGAGAAATTAACTTAAGCCTGAAAAAACAATATTGAAGAGAAGGAAGGAGTGATTGACATACTCAATAAGAGTGTAGGCTGATTAAGCTTTTGCTTCAAAAGCTGTTGACTCTCTCGCAAGCTTACTTGGCTGAAGCAACAATGCATATGCAAGATCAAGTCGACTCTTCCATATCTATCTGTATGTCTCTCTCTCTTACCAACTCTGGTCAGTTTTTAACTCTGCCACTTGAATCTTGGGTTTAGGAGCTTCTTCAAATACATCCTCTTTGGTGTAGACACCATAGTGCCACCTGCTTGATATAATTGCTATAGCAATATGTTTTATTGAACAGTTTCGTGTCAAAGATACCTGATAGAATTTACTTTGTCTTCCAATGAGTTTACTAGTATTGTTGCATTATTTAGATTATTTAGATTTTGTTTGGATCATGTGATGTCTATTCAATGCTGGGTTTGCTCTATGATTTTCTCTATGCTTTCTGTTTTGTTCTTATTTGATTGTGCTTATTTAATTTATTTGAAAACGTCTGTTGGTCTATTAATTTGAATCAACCGATAGTTGACAAACAGGAAAATATGCCTGAAACTAAGCAGACAGACTTAACAAGTTTTTACTTGGCCTCTTCCATTCACTACATGATTCATGCCCTGCCAATAGGTTTTGTTTTCAATTTTAGTCTTTCAATAAATAGTTCAATTTACAAGATTGAGTTTTAATGTTCATGTGATTAATCGATCTATCTATGATACCTTATCTTCTATTTATTGTTTTCAAAATAAGTAGCATAAACCATAGCTTTTTTTCTTCGATCTATTTAGTGAATTGGTCAGTATTTCGGGTTCCAATTCCTAATGTGAAGTTTCAGGTTCCGGTTTTAGGGTCGAATTTGCATAATTCTTCTTGGGTTGCTTCGTTACCATTGTTCAGAGTTTGCTTAGGCTGGAACAGGAGATGAAGTGACGACGGGATGAAAAAAGGTTTGATAGGTACCAATTTCGAAGTCGAATTTGTATAATTCTTTGTAATTTATAATAAACACTTGGATGATAGGAAGTGATATTTTATTACAAAGTCAATTAGAGAAGGTTAACTGGGTATTACTATTTCTGAGTATTACTATTTCTATGCTCAGTTTTAGGATAGTTAATGCAAAAGAGAAACTTTTAAATGTGATACACGTAGAAAGTTAAACTATTTTTTATAAATGTCACGGTTGTTAGGAAACACAAATACACATGGTGAGTTATTTCAGTCAAATAGCCATATGCGATCGGCATGTCCATCTAACAAATGACTTTATAATTACTATAAAAACTACTTCAATTAGACATTTTAAAATCCATATAGTTAATACACCCACAATTTCTATTTAAAACTGAATACTTTCCTTTCATTGTTTCCTCTATTTTATGCAAATATATAATGAGTCTATATTTTTATGTTTTAGTTTATTTTCTCTTTTTTTTTATTCATGGTGACATTTTAATATACTAACGATATTTTTTTAGCATTATTTCTTAAGTATAATTTTTTTTTAATTATTTAATTATTTAAATTTAAATTTTAATAATATTTTTATAAAAATTGTCAAAACAATAATAATTTTTATATACGGATAAAAAATCTATTATTCATCTAAATATTTTTATATACGAAAATATTGTATTTATGATTCAAATACTTTTATTTAAAAATAGTATACGAGAAAAAATCTATTATTGATCTTAATATTTTTATATACGAAAATTTATTATTGATCCAGATATTTGTATACGGGAAAGAATCAATTATGATCTAAATATTTTTATATACGAAAATGCTATTTATGATCAAAATATCTTTCATTCAAAACTGATATACGGTAGAAAATCTATTATTGACCTAAATATTTTTATATATGAAAATTTACTATTGATCCAGATATTTTTATAAACGATACCGAAACAAAAATAATATTTTTATACATGAAAATTTACTATTGATCCAGATAGTTTTATAAACGATTTCTAAACAAAAATAATATTTGTATACGGGAAAAAAATTATTATTGATCTAAATATTTTTATATACAAAATAATATTTATGATCCAAATATTTTTTATCTAAAAATGGTACACGGGAAAATAATTTATTGTTGATATAAATAGTTTTATATACGAAAGATTACTATGATCAACATATTTTTGTAAACCATACTTAAACAAAAATAATATTTATATATGGAAAAAAATCTATTATTGATCTAAATATTTTTATATATGAAAGATGGTATTTATGATCCAAATATTTTTTATCTAAAGATGATATACGAAAAAAACATCTTCTATTCATCTAAATATTTTTTTCTTTTTACACTTTTATTTAAAATAAATTTATTATATAAACAAATGAGCGTACCAGATCAGAACCCGTGCGTACGCACTGGTTTTGTTACTATTAAATTAATGAGGATGGATCATTGATTTATTGGTCGAACTATTGAGTTATTAGTCGAACTAGATGAATAAACCAAATTAATTTTGATAATTTAGTTGGATAAATCGTATAACTCAATTGAATAATTGGTCTCTATAACAAAACTATCTAGTTATTAAATTGGTCGAACCAGATAATTTTATCTCTAAAAAAATCATGACACCTATGAAATTTCAAAATTTCAAAATATCATAAGTTTATAAATTTATTAATTAAATTTAAATTCTAAACATAATCACCACACACAACAAAATAATATAAAATATAAATATAAATTAATTTTGAATAAAGTCTAATTGCAACATAAACTAAATAATAAAATAAATGTAATGTAATGTCTAATAAATTTAACTCTAAACAGAGAATGTTGTTCCAAATAAGTTTTAAACAAAATCTATTTATATTTTAGTTTTATTTTTAAAAACTTATCAAAAGGATGTTTTTTAGAAGAAAAACAAGAATTTAATCCTTCAATTTTCCAAAATCGTCGGTTCATTGATTTTTATCAGTATTGGTCGGTTATGGATAGCTCTCATTGATTTAATAATTTATTTGATCCAACAATTAAATTATACCGATGATTCTTCTTATTCTCAATTCAACTGGCCGGTCCAATGAAATTTTCGAAACATTATCACCACATCTTAAGTTTCTCCCACTTTTTTATTTGTCAATCATTTATATTTGTTAAACAATTTTCATTATAAATGTATTGTTTAAAAAAAATTATTTCTTATTTTTAATATAATTTAATTTATAATTTTTTTAATCACACTAATATATAATGTCCGACTAGAAAAGAGACTTTTTTAAGTAGTCAAAAAGTATTTTGATAAAATTGATTAAAATATAATATTTTTCATGTTGTCGATGGTATTTAAGAATTTAAATAGATGATGTTTATTTTTAAATAATTATATTATTTATTAGAGATCTAATTTTATTATTTGTCATGAGTGTTTAAAAATCATGACCGGCCCTGTGAAGTGTATTGCTCGGTTGTTTGTAAGCTACTAAATTAAAAAAGACACAAACAAAACAAAAAAGATAAATTTATGAGATAATATAGTTTAATTGATTGTCTATTTGAATTATTTTTACAATAGGATTTTTATATTCGAAGTTAGTGGTGTTCTCCAAAGCACTGTGGCCTAAGTAAGAATGCCTCCACTGGCAATTTTTAAGTGTTGTGTGCTAGCATGCCTATGTGACGATAATAGTTTCAATTAGTCATAAGGTAGTAGTCTTCGTCTAGATTTGAAACATTATCACCATCATCATTATTATTTTCTCCCTTGCACCAAAAATAAGTATATATTATAAGTTGAACAAGACCAGAGATTACTCCAACACTGTTACTGATCTGTAAGAATAATTCAAATATACATTAATCAACAACGATATAATTAAAAATTTATCAATTAATACAATTATAACTCACAATTTAATTACTTACCAAAATATAAATGTCAAAGGGGTGGATTAAGGCATATGTTGTCCAACATAATCCATTAAGAAAGTTAGCCAGAGAGAGCGAAAATGGCATATATTTCACACTTTTTGTTTCAATGACTTTTGCCTATTGATTAAATTACATGTAACAAAACAAGAACAAGAAGAATTATGAGTGAAATAATATACAAATAAGAGTTTTGTTTATATCATTCTTTAATTGACCAACATTTTATCTGATCTTATTTAAATATATCAAATATTATTTTCCAAAATACCAATAAAAATATATCTATAGGGATATTTAATTTAAATTTAGAACTATGGCAAAAAAATTTAAAAACATAGTTCAAATTTTTAATAGATACAAAATAAAATTATTTAAATAAATTTCAATTCATAGAATATAAATGACGTACCATAACGGTAAGAGGAGAGGCATACATCATTATGTTAAATATATCACATATAATACCAACCACTAGAGACCTTTTTGTAGTGCCATGTAATGCCAACATTGTTATAAGAACAATGATAATAAAAAAAGTAACTCCTATGAGAAGAAAAAGAAGCAACTTTTTCTGAAAATTAGAGAAACAAAAGTTGTGAGTAGCTAAATAGGAGTAGTTATATTAGCATGATGAATTCTATCAAATCTTAAATACTCAATCAAAGTGAAGTCACACATACATACCCTTCCTTTGTTGTTGGCATACATATAAAATATGGTAAGATAGACGAACTCAAAAACAAGTCCTACACAATTAATGGTAACGATCAAAAAGCTATTTGGGTGCACAAAAGGCATTCCATAAAATGCCCAAAATGCACAATTCAACATTGTTGCTATGTATGGGTCAGGCTTGTATTCTTCCACATCTTTCTTCTTTATAATTTTATAGAAAGTTGAACTGAAATTCATTCATTCAAATAGTTAATAATCAATAATGAACAATTACACAAAATAAAGCAATAAATAGAGAAAGACAATTCATTTACGCTGGTGATAAGAACAAACCAAAGGTGATAACATTCCCTGCATTCAAATTTTAAAATAGGACATTGATTAGAAGAAGAAAAATTTAAGATTATTAATAAATAGAAAAAAAAGTAGCAAAAGATGAATAACACACCTATAATACCAACAACATTACGAGTTGATGAAGCGCTTGCCATTTTTTTACAAAACAGAAAATACACTAAAAAAAATAGAAGAGAAAGGGAAAGAAAAGAAGATTAATATGAAACAAGATGAATTAGAGTTGGTATTTATTATCATCTCAATATTGTTGTAATATCATAAATTTCGTTTCCTTTTTATAATTTGACAGCAATGTTGAGTTTTTTTTTTTGTTTTTTTTAGTTTATTTACTTTGTTTCTATATTAGGATTTTGTTAGACAGAATTTCTTTTAACAACTCAGGATTGGTTATGAATATGCTATTGTTACATTATTAAATTAATTATTTAAATTAGTATAAAATTAATGAATCAAATAAGAAAGTAATATGTTTTGGAAAAGACAGTAAAACTTTTTTTTGATAGGTCAATTATCTCTTTTTTGGAGGTAAAACGAGGATTAAAAATAGTAATCCTCATAATTATTATTTTGTATAATTATTAATTGTTCCATTTATTTCAAAGGTAAATTGTTTGATTTCCCCACTCAAATGCAATGTATCTCATTATCACACCATTCAAATATCACACCATGTCTCTTCTGCTCTTAGCCCATATCTTTTCACTTTCTCTTTCTCTTTCTCTTCTCCCCCACCAATCTCTATTTCCTTCATCCTCTTCTTTTTACAAACTGTTAATGTTGTTTCTATTTTTTGCTTCAAATTTTTAGGGCTTTTACTTCAAGATGGATGAATCTAACTAAGGATATGTTTCTGTGCGATTTTCGACGGGAATTTCCTTTTCACAGTGTCACACAAGGTGATGGTTGTCGAAGATGTCGATTCGGGGAAACTGAGAGGCGAACAATGAGAAGGTTCTTGGAAGATTTTGGATCTGTGAGTTTTGAGATGGAAATCTAAATTTGTGTTATATGTTATTCCATTGACTGTTATTTCTATCCATACTATTTTTTCCTTTTTATCAATCTTGAGGTTTTGTTATTACTTGCTCAGATGTTTCTTCACACGTGGTTAAAAAGATTATTTGTATAACGCTTTCCTGATTTACATTCTTGAATTTGAAGTTATAGATTTAATTTTTATGCTTTGTTCCATGTTAGTGTTGAAGGAATGAGAAGGAAGAATGAATATTAACCAAGAATGAATGATTTCTTTTTTGCCATAGAACTGTTATCTTAAAATTTCTTTAAGGCATTTATTGCATTGTTAGTAGAAAATCATGTGAACCGAAAGGAAAGTGTCTTTCAGGAGTAGGGACTTTAAGAAGATTAGAGTCAAGAAAATGATAACTGAAAAGTTGTTATAAAGAATTAAAGGGAGATCCACAAACAAAAGAGAAAGTAATCGACAGAGACTATAACAAGCAGTCGATTTTAGTTCCGTCGACAAGAATGAAATTCAAGACTTAGAGAATTTGGGTTCTTTGTCTACGATAATGGTTGATGTCGAAGTAAAACTTATAGGCGGGATAGATTTTGAAATTTGAATATGATAGCGGTTGCAAGAAGTTTCTTGATCAAGGCACCAACTACGTGGCTAAATCTAACGAAGCAGATTTATTAAGTCACATACGTGTCAGATTAGTATTACGTTTAATTGCATGTTCAATTATTATGTAACTACTATAAATAATTCAAGAGTGTTAATGTACGTGAATCACCACATTTATTTCAATGCAAACTCCTTTCTTTTCAGTTGTCCCCTTTAAATTTAAATATTTTGCTTGCATCTTATTTATTTTTGAAGAATTTTTTTATATTGTCATTTACGTTATTGAATCTCGTTCCATTATCATACTGGAATTCACTGAGAGTTCACTTAACATTTACTTTAATTAGGACATGTCTTAGTCTTTTGTCATGAGTCACCTTCAGTTGATCAATTCATAGCATATTTGTGGAAATTTTTTACTTATTCCCTTATTTAGAGAAAAACTGTTTCTCACAAAGTAAGGCGTTGCATCGACAGAACAAGCCTCATTTTGTTCTATTAGCACATGTCTTAGGATTAAGTAGTCGATTCTGCGAATAACCCTTAGTTTTAGGCTTTGGGAGGACTAGTGTAACGCCCCGATATTTAATTATTTATTTAATTAAATATTTTTGAATATTTTATATTAATTTGAATTTTTATCGTCGAAGTTCAAATTATTTTATTAAGTTGGAATAATAATTAATCGGATTAATTTGGTGGAATTAAGTTGAAGTATTATTTTACTATTAGCTTAATTATGATATTGGGCTTTAATTGGTGGTGTTGTGTAGTATTAGGGGGTATGTCACTTAGGCCCATTTGAGTTTACTAATGATTAAATAAAATAGTAGTATTATATAGAATAAATGAATTAGAGGAGAAAGAGAAGAAATGGAATTATCAGAAAAAAAGAAAAGAGGAACAAGGATTTTGTGAGAGGAGAAGAAGAACAAGGATATTGCTTCTGATGTCATATTCGCCAGAAATTCGGTTGAAGTTTCTTAGAGCTGCACTAAATTCAAGGTAAGGGTCGGATTCTGACTCTATAATAGTGTATTAATCGGTAGAAACATGTTTAGATTGAAACTCCTAATTTTTATAGTTTTTAAGTTGTTAGATTTTGATGATAATAATTAATTTGTGATGATTATTTGTGTTTTGGAACTAATATATTGAAGTTTTATTTTACTATCCGATATACTTAAGAATGAAAGTTAGAAAATAGGGTCCTGTAGCTGATAATTTTGATAAGGCAAAACCATTTGTTACTGTAGCGGCCATGTTCCTAATACATATTATAGGGCAGCACAGAAATAACATTAGAAACCATTATGCCTGTAGCATAGAGGAATAATTTGCTTCAGTATAAACTGTAGTGCTTCACTAGTATGAACGACAATAGCACTGTAGCGGCATTTAGAATTTCAGTTTAGTAACATTGCTTACTCATATACTATTTATATAATACTTTATTTGTTATAACAGTATATTATGCTAATTAATAATAATAATAATAATAATAATAATAATAATAATAATAATAATAATAATAATAATAATATTAATAATTTAGTATTATTAATATAGTGATTTAAGAGTTGAGTTAGAAATAAGTATTTGAATAAATAGTTAATTTGGGTTAATTTCTATTCTAATAGAATGTAAATTGAGTTGTCAATAGGGTTGTGAGAGTTGTTAATAATATCGTTAAAATTATTAATAGAGTTGTTTTAAATTATTAAAAGTCACTTTTATTTGTTTTGCATAATTCCGGCATATTTAGAGTTGTCAGTAGGGTAAGTTGAAGTGTCCAAATAATAACACATCTTTACTAAGTTATTGACATTTTAGTTATGGATTTTTAATTAAATTCAGTAGCAGGAAATTATGAATCATTTGTACCTTTTGTCGGTATATACACCTACTGTAGACTAGGAATTAATTAGTGTAGGATAGCATTGTAGCATATCATGTATATGCAATATCTTTTTTTGTAGATATGACCATTTGGAAGGTTAGTGTAATATTGTTTTAAACTAAGAATCATGTTCAAGTTTATATAATATTGTAGAACTTTTGTAAGTAGAAATAATATAATTTTGGTCGATAATTAATTAACAGGTTTTAGTCGAAATAGTCCGAATAATTACGCGGTTTATTTGTAGTAATTTTTGGTTGATCTGTTGGGTGGTGTTTTTGCTGAAAAATGTGATTAGCAGGTGATTTTATTGCCTCCATTTTGTTGGAAATCCACCAAAAGACTATGATGAATTTCTACCACAATGACGATTAGTTATGAGAAAAATAAAGAAAAGAAGACAAGACAATTAATTTCTGCAGAGTTTCTTTCTGCTCACAAACTGTGAAAACTTTATTATTCACTTTACAACTGTAAAATACTGTGAATGACTTGCTTGACTTGCTTACAAAAATAGGGGTTACTCCCTCTATTTATAACTGAGCTTACACCCTAAGCCAAAAGCCCAAAATATCTTTTTGTTACTAAATCAAATCTAATTTATTCTAGACTTAAATCAAATCTATTTAAATCTAAAACAAATCAAATCTTTTCGACACATAGTTTCGACACATTGGATTACAAATTAACACACCACCTAATTCATTGTGTCTAAACTATTTATATTCATCATGACTCTTAGCTTTCTGAATACTTCGACTTGCACTCCCTTCGTTATGATGTCTGCAATCTGATTCTCAGTTCTGCAGTGTTCCAAATTCATCTTCTCATCTGCTACCAACTCTCGAAGATAATGGAACCTCATTTCGATGTGCTTACTTCGACCATCTGCTATTGGGTTCTTCACCAGATTAATAGCTGACATGCTGTCTATCTTCATGGTAATTGCTCCATGATTTTTCACTGTTCTCTCTTCGACCAAGTTCACCATCCAAGTTGCTTGACATGCACAAAGAGAAGCAGCTATGTATTCTGCTTCGCATGATTGCCACTACTGATTCCTTTCTTGAATTCCAAGCAACTGGTGCACCACCTAGCATAAACACATATCCTGCTGTTGAATTTCGATCGTCAGCATCACTACACAAACTCGAATCAGTGTATCCCACTAACTTGCATTTTTTCCTTTATCAACTGCAGGAAACAAAATGCCATAATCGAAAGTTCCTTTGAGATACCTTAGTATCCTCTTCACTGCTGCTAGATATGATACATTTGGCTTCTGCATTAATCTACTTACCATACCTACACTATATGCTAAGTCAGGCCTTGTATGACAAAGGTATCTCAATGATCCAATAAGTCTTCTGTATTAGGTTGGATCAACATCATCTTCATCTGCATCTTTCGACAGTTGCAGTCTTAGTTTTGCAGGTGTCGAAGTTGAGTTGCATTCTTCCATCTCAAACCTCTTGATAATTTATCCTCGTATCTTCTTTGATGCATCATCAAACCTCTACTGCTCTTGTAGAATTCGATACCAAGGAAATATGAAATCTCACCCAAACCAGACATTTTGAATTCCTTGCTGAGATCACCTTTGAAGTCTTCGATCTCACTTTTACAGCTATATGTTATCAATAAAT